ACGCACACGCACACGCACACACACACACACACACACACACACACACACACACATATATACATTTTTATATAAGCATACATAGGTATATACATGCACATATGTGTGGCAATATCATAATCCCCCCTGAAAATTGCCTAGTCATGAACTTCTGATTTACTATTTTTTCTTGTACTATAAATACTATACATATTTATACTTTGTAATATGTATTATCCTTTTATGTTTAAATGACAAATGTTTGCTTATTTTACATACATATATTTTCAAAATAAATTTAAGTCCTCAGCCAATTTTATCCTCAGGAAATTGAATAAAATGAGACACTAGAATAGGAATATTATTTAACTCTAATTATTATACAATCATCCCCCTTAGTATTGTATTCCGCTTTTCCGCTATTCCGCCTTGACAGACTAATCACGGCTGTATAAACGGTTTGGCTGCTCTGAAATCAGCTCGGCCTTGATGGACTAAATACGGCGATAGAAATACCATTTAGTCAAGAGATCTCATCCTGACCTTTAATGTTCGCCACACTTCTTCAGTGCTTCTTGATGTGTGGGACCCAGTTTCCAACATAAAGTTCCTAGTCAACACTGGTGCCAAGGTTAGCGTTTTGCCTGTAACAACAAGTCACAAATCACTCCCACCCATCATGAACTTGTATGCAACCAATGGATTAACATTCCCTGTCTACAAACAGAGAACTCTTACTTTCAAACTCAAACTTCAGCGTACATTTTAGTAGCCTTTCTATGTAGTAGCTGTGTCTCAAGCCATACTTGACACTACTTGTATAAGGTCTACTAATCTTCAACTTTCACATGGAAACAGCTGGCAGATCACCACAATCAATGCCAACAACCCTTATGCATCCTTGCTGAAGCCTTTTCCTTCAATTATTCAGCCATACTCTGCAATCTTTCCTACAAAGCACTCTGTTACTCCTTACATAGAGACAACAGGTCGATCTACACATGCCAAGTCTCATTGATTACCTCCAAAACAGTATTGCTAAGTAAAAGAAGAGTTTGAGTCCTTACTATGTCTGGGTATTATAAGTGCAAGTTATAGCAACTGGTCATCTACACTCCATGTTGTTTCTAAGAAGAATGAAGAACTGTGACCTGCAATGACCATAGTTTCAATGCTCAGACTCTGCAACATTCAAGAAATTACTCCCCAACTTTCTAGCTGTTTCATCTCTAAAATTGATCTGGTTAAAGCATTCCACCAAATACCTGGTTACCATTCATACTTCCCGAAAACAGCCAATATCACCCTATTTGGCTTGTATGTGACTTTTGATCTACTCATCACCAAAAAGGCCACAGCTGAACATCAGGATCATGTTAGCAAGCCTTCACATGTCTCCAGATTAATGTAGACAAGAGTGTATACAGAGTTTCGTCTGTTGATTTTCTTGGCCACACAGTTTCTGCAACGGGTATCACTCCACTTCCTGCCAAAAGGGGAGGACATTCAACAGTTTCCTAAGCCATCAACACAGCACCAGCTCAAGGAATTCCTAGGGATGATTAACTACTACAACAGATTAATTCCGAAGTGTTCTCTACTTCTCCACCCTTTTATTCCATCATCAGACTATGCAAGTGAAGTCAGTCAGTCGCTCATGTCTGATCTCCTGGGGTGGGATACTCAAAACAGTTTATAATGTTGTATCTCACATCGGAGCAGTTACAATGTTGTAACTCGTCTGAGGGCCATACTCGAAACTAAAATAGCCGCCATGTCATGATGTCACACATTGTAAAGTACCTTGTAAGTTACAACTGCTCGGGAGCTCTTGTAAGGGTTTCAAACCGGATATGTGACGGTTTATTTCCCGATTACTTAATCAACAAAAACCTTCATTTGACAGTAACATGCCTTTTCCATATTTAATACTGGGGAATTTCAATTGTCTAGCATATTCTCTGTTTTCTATGAATTATCATTATTTTGAATCAAATATAAATTGTTTGTAAATTGAGTTGACAGACGACAGATGACACACAACAATGTTTTGGTGGCTGCTCATCCTCATGACTGAGCATTGCAGCACGAAAGACATTATTATAGGGAATCATTAGTTTCACGCTATGGAGAAGATAAGCATTTATTGCAATATCAAAGATTTCTTAGATTTGTTTTACTATAACCTTCTCTGATGCCAAATATCCAACTAGACAATCCTTTTAAGAATTATTATTCGGATATTCAGTGACTCTTCCGTATGTATGTTTAAATCAATTTACTTTTGCATGAGATTATGATTTTTTGCCTTATACTTCCAAAAAAATATGTAAGTCATATGTGAAACCTCATAAACAAGTATAGGAAATGTCTTTCAAAAATATTACTCGGGGAGACAGTTGCTGGGCCTGGAGTTGGTGACCATTGGGGGCGTGGCAATAAGACAACCATGGCTTACCATTGGTTGTTACGTCTAGCAGGCTGACTGTTGATTGGTCTATCGACTACCGATCTGCCCTTTCTT